AAAACAGCGAAAATTCCCAAAGGAAATGGCAAAAGATATTAAACAATATCAGTTATTGAACTAGTAATCACACAACATTGCAACATTCATTAATAGATATGTTGTTGTTTTTGTACTAAGAATTTTACCCAGGTATGCTTTATCACTGAGCTACATCCCTATCCCTTTTTATTTTGAGACAGGATCTCACTAAATGGCTAAGGCTGGCCTTGAACTTGCAATCCTCCTGTTTCAGCCTCCTGAGTCACCAGGATTCAAGTATGTATCACCATACCCAGCAGGAGATACACTGTTAATGAACATTTTTTAGGGATCTATTATTTTATCTCTCTATTCAAGCTAGTTAATAATCATATGCTAACATCAAAACCAATAATAGTGATATCTACTTTTTTTTTTTAAGTACTTATTAGGTTTATATAAACCAAAAAGGGGAAACTGGTTTGCAGTCCAAATGGAATACTACAGAAGATGTACATAATTTATAAGACATATACAAATATCATGTATTTGTTGAATTTATTTGCTGGCAAAAATCCCGTAGCAAATGGTCTTGCCTGTTCAAACACCTTGAAATTACATAAAAACTTATTTTTCAAATATAAATCCAGCTAGAAATATTTTTAAATGTGATTTAAAATGTTTAAAATGTGAATTACAAAAGAAAACAAAGTTTAGTATGTTGTAGAAGGAAAAATCTCATTGTTCTACCCTACTTCTGGGGGGGAAGTCGCTATTATTTTATTATATTTGAATCACTTCACTGTGTAATGTAAAAAATTATAGTCTAAGCACTCAATGTTTTGAGATTATTTATAACTTTTTAAGAATAGGCCACTTATTAATATCTCAAAACCACTATAATTATATGACACCTTGGTTAAAACTGAGCTTTTACGCTGATGTATGTTAAAAAATGAGAAAATTACTTTCTGATTACACATTTGCTCCAAATGTCATACTCATGATGTACAGATAACTGAAGCTCTAGCTGAGAGCCTGACTGAAATTTCATGGAAGATTCTGATCTAGAACCACCCAGGTAAATTACTTCTGAATTCCTGACCCATAGAAACTGTAAGATAGTAATAATTAGTTGTTGTCTTACATTTTGGAGCAATATTTTGCATAACAGATAATATATAGTGTGTGCGTGTGTGTGTGTGTGTGTGCGCGCACATGCAATAATCAATATATATCATTGCTCTAGAGACTGGTGTTATATATAGCTCAGAGGTAGAGCACTTGCCCTAGCATGCATGAGGCCCTAAAACTGATCTCTAGCACTGGAAAAAAAATAAAGATCTATATCTATAAGCAATCAATGGCAGGATTTCTCCCCTTGTACCAGATTTAATTAACATCCTATAACAAACTGTAAGACAGAAATAGAGGTTCCAGAATTAAGTTACCTGTACAATTGGTGGAGTTGTCTGTGAATAAGGAGATGTCACACCATAGACAGTTGGACATGTCTGTCCTTGATAATATATGGTTGCTTGAGATTGTGCAGGAGAGTACTGCTGATGTACACTGACAGATTGTTGGTTTGAATCCCAAACACTATAATTCTGTCCCTGGACTGGGCCTGGAGCTGGTACTGGCATGACAGCAACAGTGGAGTCCTGGTGTACCACACCATCACTCTGAGCCACATACTGTGAACTGGAAACTTCCACAGGGGCTGCTGCATGTGGTACCACTGGCACTGGTGGAGGGGCAGCAAGGGGTTCTGTAGAATGTCCCACCAAGGGCTGAGCATGATCATAAGGAGCAGGAGAACACACAGGTTCCATGCTGGGTGTGGGCAGGAGCACCTTTCCAGCATTAGGGTTGCTGGGATCCACATATGCCTGCATGGGATAACCTGGTGGATAGCCAGCAAAGGGGTGATGAGGGGCATTATAGCCAAGAGAGTCATAGGGCAGCGGTGATGTCATTCCCAGGTTCTGCATCTGCTGCTGTTGTTTCTGAGCCTCCCGCTGAGCCACCTCTTGTTCAAACAGCTTCCGGCGTTCCTCTGTAGAAAGTTTATTACGGTCTTTAATTCGTACTTTCTTTTTAGAAGTTGGTGTGTCATACCTAGAATGAAAAAATAAGAGGAAGACAAAGTTATTCACTAAATTGTGGACGTAATCAAAGCATTATTAGGTATTATGCCATTCATTATTCAACCACTAACCATAACAACTCCATTTGGCACTGGTTAAAAATCGTATTCAAAATTAGTTAAGGAGTGTTGCACACAAAACCTCAAGAAAATCAATACTTAAACGAAAATAACTTCATCTCTATTCTTAGATCTTAGAACTCCAAATTAAAGATACCTAATAGCAGCCTATTCTTCTTTATGGGTGCAGACTATTCTAAAACAACAAATTCTGAAATTTAAAAGAAAAACATAACTGTAATGAGCCAAGAAACAATCCAATACTCATTCAATTCAGGGTCCCTCAGGTCCAAAGTATGGTGAAGCAGGAGATTAGCTCTAAAGAGAATTAGTAACTTGGAAGATAAACCTCATATTCAGAAAGTTTAATGAATTCCAATCAGATAAAAGAAGAAATATTCATATAACATTCAGTTCAACACCCAAAACAAAATATCAGATTATTTTGAAGTATAATAACAATTAGATAATTTCACAAAAGCAGTAAAGAAAGCCAGGAGACCAAAGAATAGTGTCAACTGTGAAGACCAGGATACGGCCCCAATATTCACAACAGCAGAAATGCTAAAATAATCCCAATACCTATCAACTGATAAAATTTATAAACCTCTAAACAATGGAATACTACTTAGACACACAACAACAGGGGTGACCTAAATGAACAATACGGTGAATAAAAGAAGGCAGATGAAATGCTATATATTATAAAATACACATAAATGACATTCTGGAAAACAAAAAAACCAGAGCGTTAGAAAGCAGATCGGGAATTAGGGATGTGGGAGGGACTATCTAACTACAAAGGGGCATAGGCAACCTTTTGAGGTGATGAAAGTGTTCTGTATCATGACTGGTGATGATTACATAATGTGAGTTTATTTGACAAAAATCACTGAATTCACTTACAAGGGTCAATCTTTCTTGGGGGGCAGGGGATGGTACTGGGATGGAACCAAGTCCTTTTTGTTTTTTCATTCTGAAACAGGGTTTTGGAATTTGTGATCCTCCTGTCTCAGTGTCCCTAGTAGTTGAGATTACTTTCATGTGCTACTATATGCTGTTATAATGGTGAAACTTGCAGGAATTTATACCTGCTAATAAAATAAAGCTGGTTTTTAAAAACGAGGGTGAGCAGTACAAACAACAAACAAAAGAGAGAGAAAGAGACTTCTTAAGTACCTGTGTTAAGGACATTGATTAATTTTATTAAACTGAAACACCAGTTAAAGAATTGCCACAATATATTTAAAAAACTATAATCAGTTATAAAATTATCAGATACAGGTTGAAAGAAAAAGGGAAAAAAGATATCAGTTAAATCCCTACCAAAAGGAGACAGTATGCTTCTATTCTATTAATATCAAACAACAGAGAATTTAAAACAGACTATAAAACAAGTATAAATAAAATTAAAAACTGGTATCATACAGTCAATAAATGATAAGTTAGAAGTTTAGCCAAAAAAAAAAAAAAAAAAACTTAAACACACACTGGAAATAAAAATGGAAATCAGAAGAGAATCCACTCAAATTAAGAATTTTATGAAAGCCTAATAAAATAAACCTAAAAAAAGGAAACAAACTTACCAAGGAAATTAATTCAAGATAAAAAAATATTATTCTGTGATTTGTATTGCTAGCAAAACACAAGAGCAAGGTATAAAGATTAGAAAGAAAAAAGAAAAATTCCAATAATATGAAGTGTTGACATACAAAGATTAAAAAGGTGGGAGATAAACCCCACACAAATTATTGAAATTAGTTAAGTTCTGTATGGTCACCAATATGTGAAAGTAAATTGAGTATCTAAATACCACTAGCAAACCAAAATGCTAACAAAAAATTAAGATTCCTAGAAAGAAATACACCACAAATATATGTAAGTCTTTTTTGAGAAAATTATACATTTAATTAAAGAAAACCTTTATGAAAAACATTAACGAGGGGGCTGGGATTGTGGCTCACAGGGAGAGAGCTCGCCTTGCATGCATGACAGGCACTGGGTTCAATCCTCAGCACCACATAAAAATAAAATAAAGATATTGTGTCCAACCACAACTAAAAAATATATATTAAAAAATATTAAAGAAGGGCTAGGGCTGTAGCTCAGTAGCAGAGCACTGGCCTCACATGTGTAAGCCACTGGGTTCAATCCTCAGTACCATATAAAAATAAGCAAATAAATAGGGGCATTCTGTCCACCTACAAACTACAAAAAAAAATCAAAAAATAAATTAAATAGTATAGAAGCTGGGCACAGTGGCACATGCTTGTAATTCTAGTGGCTCAGGAGGCTAAGCCAGGAGGGTCTCAAATTCAAAGCCAGTCTCAGCAACTTAGCAAGGCCCTGAGCAACTTAGGGAGACCCTGTCTCAAAATTTTTTTAAAAGGGCTGGGGATGTGGCTCTGTGATTGAGTATCCCAAGGTTCAATTCCCAGTTCCAAATAAACAAATAAGTATTAAAGAAGACCTAACCAGACAGAGATAGGAATATTCAAAATTGTAATTATGTCAAGACTCCATAGAATTCTTCCCTTTTTTAATTTTAATTTTTAATTTTGTTTAAGGCATAGGGCAACAAGCAGATTCTAAGGAAGAGTAAAAGTTTGAGCAAAAACAAGATATCCTAGAAGAAAATCAAGAAGGTCTGGGTAGAAAGACTGACCTGCTTCGTACTAAGACTTAGCATAAGTGAGAGTCATTAAGAGCCAAGAAACAGATATGTATGAAAACTTGCTGGAGTGAGGCAGGACTGCACATTAGTGAAAAAAGGATGGGCTTTCACAGAAAACAGAAATATCCAAAAGCACATGACAAGATATTCATCCTAGTACTTGCTTTGGCAGCACACATACTAAAATTGGAATGATACAGAGAATACTAGCAAGGCCCCTGTGCAAGGATGACATGCAAATTCATGAAGCATTCCATATTTCAATCTATTTAGTAATTAGGGGAATATAAATTCAAATCACAGTGAGCCACTATGAGCCCAAATTAAGACGTCTGGCAGCTGTAGTATATGAAAATCATATGTCAGTATTTTAAAAAGAAAATTCAATTTAAAAAAGAGAACTTCTCTGGAATAACTGTTTTCTAGCCCTCAATGGATGGTTATGTGCTTTGTTTCTCTACCAGTACAAGAGTTTCTGGTATTTTTTTCTTATTATTTTAAAATTTTTATTTATTTATTTTGGTACTAGGGATTAAACCCATGGGCACTTAACAATTAACACTAAGCTACATTCCCACTCCTTTTTATATTTTCTAGAGAAGGACTCTGGAATGCACTTTTTTTTTCCCTCTGATATTTTCAAATCAGTATTTTGATTGGTATGGCATGAGAGTCAGTAGAAAATCAAGTCCTAACATTTTCTTTCATTTTATTTTTTTGGTACAAGGGGTGCTTAACCACTGAGTCACATCCCCAGCCCTTTATTGAGACAGGGTCTTGCTAAATTGCTGAGGCCGGCTCAAACTTGCAATCCTCCCTGCCTCAGTCTCCCAAGTTGCTGGGATCACAGGCATGCGCCACAGTGCCTGGCAAAGTCCTGACTTCTGAAGAATTGCTATTGCTTTAGAAGCATTACCTCTTACCAACTTTTATTTCCCTTAAAAAAAAAAACAAAAAAAAAACAAAGCTTTGGCTCTCTACATGGCATTTATGTGTCAAACAGAAACTTTTCAAGTACCAAAACTCTACTAACTTTTTACATCTATTATTACAAACAAAAGAGAATCTGTCTTCAGATTTATATCAGTAAAATTTTATACTCATTCATCAAAAGAAAGTACTAATTCCAAAAGCCATTGGGTCCAAAGTAATAAGCAGATTTGGAGGGATGACTGCATTTGACTTGGGTACTTTCTGTCTTGCCCCCAAAACGAGAAAAAACTCATGTCACTTACCTGTCATCTGGCCTTTTTGTTCCCCGCTCATAGGCAGAAGAGGGTGGTGACAGGGAGCCCCTTCGTTTCCTTTTCTCTTTATTTTGAGTTTGCTTATCTGGGTCTCTCTCTCTTGACCTGTTAGGAGTCTTTGGGGCAGCTGTTTGATCTCTAAAGCCAACAGCATCCCTTCCTCGTTCAGTTACTAAGAGAAAAAAGGTTTTCAAAAAGTTTACTTGGTAAACTTTATAAAAGTACATCAACTGTATAAATTTTTTTATAAAAGTACAGCAACAGTATAATTAAACTTGTATCCAATAAACAGACCTATCGACCCTTCCCTTATCTACCTAGTACTGAATTTGGGTGAGACAAAAGTCTTATGTATTCACTGCACTTAACTCTCTTCCATGAATGCCTTTTTCTTCTTTTCCCCACAAAAGACTCAGTCCAAGTCTTCAACATAGACGTCTAACATTCAGTGAGTACATGCATGCAAAATGTTCCTGTTACTTTAGCAAGGCAGTGTGCTTGTCAGCTTAAAAGTAAAAAGCCTACAACTGGCCCTATAACACTCTATATTTATAATTTATAGAAAAGAAGCCTGACATGCTTAGCATAAGTTTAATTAACTTTTTTAAAAAGGTTATTAGACAACTCTTTATGAACTACAATTAAAATAAAATATTTCAGACATAGGTGCTAACTTAAGAAGTTATCAAAGCCAAATGGGCACATCCGCAAAGCAAAGATAACAGCTTCCCATTCCAAGTTGATAATATTAAGCTTCTTCATTGTTTCCTTTATCTAGAATGGTTCATGCTCTATCTTCACTTTCTAAATTCCATGACTGTTGTTTCTCAACATTGACTGAGTACTATTTTTCATTACCATGCCTACTAGTTTCTCACCTTTCTCAATCTGACCACTGAACATTTCAGACACAACTGAACACTCTCAATACAAACTGACTGCTATTACACACGATTGCTCTGTGTCTGTATTATTTCAGACTGTTGTTGTTCTTCTCCGCGCCCCCCACCAAAACAATTGGGGATTGAACCCAAGGGTGCTCTACTAAGCTGTTATACCCCTAGTCCTTTCCTTTCTATTTTATTCTGAGAGTTTGTACCACATTTTGTTTATCCATTTTTCTGTTGGTAGAATTTGAGTTGTTTCCACTCCTGGCTATTAATAATAAATTATAAATAATGTCACACAAATGAACATTTATGCACAAGCCTTTGGACATATTTTCATTTCTCTTAGGTACATTCCTGGAAGTGGAATTGCTGGGTCACATGATAAAGTTATTCTGACTTCTGCCTTAGAATATGTGAGACAGAGAAATCATTCCATTTATTCAGGCTGAATTCCTTGTATTATAAAACAAAGATTGAACTACACTATGTATTTCCCAAAATACTTCACAATTCTTCTGAATTTTAAGGGTTCTAAGCTTTAACTGCGTGACATAAAGGGTGGAACCAGGTTTGTATTATATTATAAGCATTTCCTTAAATATAAGACTGAAATAGGGGATTCCATGTGAGGGAGAGACTGAAGCTACCACATAAAAGCTGTTCCCTGTAAAGATTATAGTTATCCATTAAAGACCTGCCTCTGCTTCTCCTACAGGGCCATACCACACTAGATATTTGCAAACTATTGGGGGAAAACTTTCATAGGTATTTGTTTCATCCGTGTTGCCAATGGTTTCAACTCAGTGAGTCTAGAGAAGTAGCCTCTGATAATCAAATCTATAGCATGCCACTTGTTTTGCCAACCAATATTGCCTAGAGCCCTAAGTAGAGGTTTATGAACAAAGTAGTAGGATTTTAAAATATGCAAAAGATAACAATAAACAAACAAAATACCATTCACAATGGCTTCATAACACTATTTATGGACCAGTGCTAGAGGAATTCAAGAAATCAATGATTGAGCTCATTACTTTACTCCCCCAGAAAGGTTCTAGGAGACATAACAAAGTGGTAAAAAACAGAAACCAGACTCCCATAGCTTTCCTGTTGTCTGTTATGTAACAATGATTCTCAATCTTTTTGAGACTCCCCTAGAAGTCTCAAAACATTTTGAGCTTTCCCCAGGAAAGTAAATATACACATCAGATTTTGTGTAAAAATATCTAAAACTAAACATTCTTCCACAGGTCTCTAGGAGTACAGGTTTAAGAATGAACCTCTAGAGAAACAATGAACAGATAAAAGATACTGAAAGACCATGACTTACTTTCAGAACAGTATCAACACACACACAGGCAGTATCAGGGAAATCTCCTTTGGCAAAAAGTCATTAAGAAAGAATAAAAGTTCAAGTTTCTAAATTTTAAATATTTAATTTACCTAATTATGTATTGTCTGGTTTCAAAAACAAAAAAGCTTAAGTACTTATCAGTTACCCTTGCATATACTGAAAGAATATTTATAAAGTCATACATAGAGTATCTCTGAATACTTACCTGTACTGTCCTTTTCAGTTTGACTTTTCTTTGGAATTCGATATACCTCCTGCAAAAAAATAAACCCGAAGAAGGTTGATTAGTCTGGGGTGAAAGTGGTGACTGCTTTGTAACTAATTTCATATGACAAAGAAATGGGAAGGAACAGGCTGGTTTTTAATTATTCTCCAAAATTTGACTTATATTTGGCTTCAAATAAAAATAGATCCTGGCCCCTTAGAAACAAAAATATGTAGCACACAATATTTATATTTTACATCTACCAGGTTTGTATGATTTCACCAGCAAAGTAGCAGACTTAGTGACAGGGGCATTTCTGCAAGAACACACTTCCTGAGAATTCTAATTTCTACATGCCTTCTGCATATGCATTCCTACATAAAAATCAAAACAATTACTTTATTGAATGTTCTCTCACCTACCATCCCTACTTTAGAATGCATATGCATTCCTACATAAAAAATCAAAACAGTTACTTTATTGAATGTTCTCTCACCTACCATCCCTACTTTAGAAAGAAAAGAGTAGCAATAACCTAGTTACATAAAAATATTTCAGAAAAAAGCCATGATAAAGACAATTCCTGCCATACAGACTATTTTTCTATAAATACACAATCCATTTCACTAACAGCCAAATGTGACATCTACTTTCACAATATTATTACAAAAAATAGAAAAGGTAAGTATTAAATTACTAATGCTCCTGAAATGGCATCCAATACTGTACCAAAGTTGATCTTGAGAAACATAAACTATTTTTTAAGACTGGAGGTACCTTTTTTTGCTGTGTGGTTCTAAAGCCTAGAACCCGCTTTGTTGCTCTGACAATTCCATACTATTCTAGTCCACCAAGTAATGCTTGGGCACAACATGTTACTACCCTACTTGGATATCCAAGTAGGGTAATAACAAGTATTGTAATGCCAAGTATGTTAATGACAAACTCACACATCTTCTCAAAGGTACATGACATTGTCCTTTTCACAGTAGTCTTGTAATATTAACTACACTTAAGAGACCTGGTGATTCATTTTGGGGAATGTACTCCCCCAAAATTAAAGAACTCCTTCCCTCACATTATCATTGGTTCTAGCAATATTTGTGGAAAATGAGAAATAATCCATGTCACACAACTGAGGAAAGGTCAAGATACAATTTTCAATTTCTTTTGAAAATGACAAAAATGGACCATACAGATAAGAATGCAAATTCTTAAAAATTTCCAAAATTATATGTATACTGACAAATTACCTAATAGACAATGATTGTTACAAGTTACTTGTGCACTTCTCTGTTTGCCTGCATGATTCTAAACATTTTAAAATGTATTATCTTATTTGAGCTTCAAAACAACCCTATGAGGTAACTACTGGAGATTGAATCCAGGGCCCCACACATGCTAGGTGAGTGCTCTACCACTGTGCTACATCCCTAGCATTTTCTAACTTTGAGACAGGGTTTTGCTAAATTGCCCAAGCTAGCCTCCAACTTGCAATCTTCTACTTCAGCCTCCCAAGTAGTGTGGGATTGTGTAAGATCTTGATATGAAGAGTGTTCATTACAAATGT